TCTACATTATCTGGCAAATACAATGTAAATAAAATGTTTTGCAATGGGATTCTATAACTTTGCTGCTTCATCAAATTATCATACTCATATACAGATATTAATCAATTTAAAGTACAAGCAATTAAAAAAGATGTAATAAAAAAACAAACAAACAAAAAAAAAAACAGGAAAGTTACAAAATCAGATTTGCATTGACCCAGAGCAAAACAAAATAGTTTAACATTCCATCCATATAATAAACCAATTTAGTAAACATTAGTTGCATACTTTTAATCCATTTCGGTAATAAGTATCTTAAAATAATTTAAGCATGTTGTTAATAATGAAGAAAACAATACGATAAATCACTTCTAAATCAAAGTCTACATTCTTTAAATTAGTGCATCCATTAAATTTGTAACAAAAAATAAAAAACATAGCTTTACATGTGTTACATGTATAAAATAAGAATAGATGAATATGTTTTTCTTTTTTTTTCTTTTTAAAGAATTGTAATTAAAGACACAAGTTTGACACATACAAGGTAGTTTTGTACACAAATTTTATGTATATACAATCTTCCTCACTAGTAATGTTAGTATTCCATCTTACCAATTATTTCCTTAGTTTGAAAGCTATATTTTCAGTTTTCTTTTAAATATTTATTTTACATATACAATGCAAATATTAAGGAAATCACGAAATATATATTTCGACTAGGTTTTCAATTATTTTTTTACAATGAAATATAGTTATTAGATTAGTAGATAGTAAAATAAAGAAATTATTGGTAAGTCGGAATACATATGTATAAGGGCGTAGGAAGGTTATATACAAAAATAACTTAAGGCATAAGACGTATCTTCTTTTTAGATATATATAAAATTTGCATTTCATAGAAATTTTGTCATTAAAGTAGAAAAACTTTTCCCTATTTGTGTTTCTTTTTCTACAAGATTATCATATATATACCATTTTCTCATACGTTGTATACTCGTAATCAGAATAAGAAAGATATGTACAAGAGATCTCGACATTTAATATTTCGATAAAATGTAACGTGTAAGCATTTATTAACTTCAACAGAACTATGAATGCTAAAATCAAAACTCTTATTTAACTTCAACTTTAACTATTTTTTATTTCGCGTACCAAGAAAACTATGCATAAAACTCGTAACAACAATCTTAGTACAAATATTCGATGGAAGTGCAGCATGTTAAAAGGAAATACATTTCTATTTTTTTTGTTTTTATGATATTGGTTAATCAACATTCTCTGTATTTAGATACAAATATCAACAAGAACCACAAAATTGTAAAAGCTATCCTCTCAAATTACCTTTTTAGACTCAGAATATAGTTTCATCTATAATGCTTAATTAATACTTTTCATTTTAACGTGCTTTAGCGCTATTCGACTGATTATTTCCGATAGTGTCGCATCTTCGGTAATATAATAAATATGGAACTCTGGGAGGAGTGGGTTTTAATACATTACTTTCAGAAACACCTTTTAACGAACTATCATCATACCTGACCCAACCACCGTATCCAACATGGAAAGCATCTGTGACATAATGACCCTTTGTTGCCTCTTTCCCATCATGATAAGTAACTGCAAACAATTTATAATGTTTTTGTTTTGGATTTAGTTTCTTTACAGCATTTGGCGACAGGAATTCTGTAACAAATAAGTTGAACGTTTTGATATTTTTACTTCTAGAAGTAAGACACTTAAAATGTTATCGATAATAATACAGTCGAAATTTCTACTCACTGCTATCTAATTTTAAATCAACCGGAAATTCTACACTTTTTACGATCTTTGAGCAAGCGTCAAGTTTGTAGTCAAACCATTTTAGATGTAATATAAGAATTACAGGTAATTCTTCTAGTGTAACTTGCTTCCAAGCTTCTATTTGCTGTTTCGTTTTACTACACGTCATTCCTTCCAACTGGTCTTTGCCGACAAGAATTTCAAGCGCACCTTTCACGGATTCTGCTTTCTGAAAATAAAACGTTTTATTAATGTTACTACTTTGCTGTCATATCACGGTGGTTCCCTTAAAAAATTAGTACTTCTATGTCAAGTTGTAATGTAAAGAATGGTTGGACGTTATCTGTTGGTTGTTCTCCTGCTCGTGATACTCTAGACCTTAATTGTCCTCGAAATATATCAGATAATGGTGTTCTTCCAAATTCGGTGCACCGTGTAATAGATCCTTTATTCTTTGGACCCATAACCTTATAATACGAACATTAATGTTAATATTTTTTTCCTCAAATTAAATATTATATGACTTAACAGCACGTTGTATTTACCTTCCATTCTTCTTCTCCACTATTATAATTTACATTATTTTCAATATTACTCGTTACATTTTGGTCATTATTTATTAATTTAATAAGCTGAAATAAATAACGATGTGATTTAGATTGGTGTCATTAAGATTGACATAAAAACGAATGTTATTACGATCATACTTCAAGCATTTCATCATTGATACCGTTGAGAAGGCACGAGAGGAATTCTTCTGCATCTTCTTGCCGCCCTTCTACAGAAAAAACACCGGCAGCTGAAGTATTTTTTAACATTGTATATACATAAGAAGGTTCAAAGGCCACTCCACTTTGTATATCTACTACTGTATCTTCCCCTCGTTTGTTTGCTCTATCTTTTCTAGCTAGTCGTGCACCATCGGACAAAGGTGTAAATTCGTGTACAAATTTGATCCTACATGAAAAATAAGTGTATATTTATTCGAAATACAAGGAGAATATGTTACAATATGTCACAATTATAATAGAAATTTTGACTTTACTTACATATTATCAATGAGTGGAGTGGAAGACATTTTACTGGGATTTTTAGAATGTGGTAGGGCCATTAATAGATTGTAAAAAGGTGGACAAGCAAGTAAAGCTTGCAATATACTATTAATATAACAATAATTACTACGATTTGTTAATCCTCTGGGTAATAA